CCACAAGGATCAGTGCTTGGGCCTCAGATCTTATTGAAACATATAAGATTCTTAAAGGGCTGATAAAGTAGACACTGAGGGTCTGTTTCCCCCGGTAGGAGAATCTATAACCAGGGGTTACAGTCTTAAAATTAAGGGTCAGCCTTTTAGAACAGAGTTAAGGAAACATTTCTTCACTCAGAGGGTAGTGACTTTATGGAATTCACTGCCCCAGAAGGCTATAGATGCTCAGTCCTTGAACATCTTCAAGGCTGAGACTGATAGATTTTTTAAAAATAGAGGGATTAGGGGATATGGGGATAGGGTACGTAATTAGAGTTAGGTCTGAAGATCAGCCATGATCTTATCGAATGGCGGGGCACGGGCTCGAGGGGCCGAATGGCCTACTCCTGCTCCTAATTCTTATGTTCTTATGTTCTTAAGATTGTATTACCAGCCTATATTGCCTCCCCTCACTCTTTCTACCAAAATGCATTACCTCACATTTCTCTACATTGAAACTCATCTGCCATGTGTCTGCCCATTTTACCATTCTGTCTATGTCTTCCTGCAGTTGGCTCCTATCCTTCTCACTGTTTACTACCCTACCTAACTTTGTGTCATCCGCAAACTCGGAAATGGTACTTGCTATACCCAAGTCCAGATCATTTATGTTTGTGATCGAGATGGTGAGTGAGAAGAGAGGGAGGGGTGGAGTGGCATTGGTGCAAGAATAATAATAAAAAATAATCGCCAAAAAACAATAATCCCTACATTTGAGATAGCGCCTTATCAAGTCGTTCATTGCTTATCACGTCGTGAAGCGCTCCGAGATGCAGCCCGCCATGAACGGCGCTGTATAAATGTAAGTTGTTGTTGTCGTTGAGACGTCTCGAAGAGCTTCACAGAATAAATTGTAAAGTGGATTGACTGTGTATTTTTGGGGTGAAACACGACAGCCAATTACACACAGCAGTGTCCCATAAACCAACGTGGATTGAGTAACCAAATGATTTTGGGGGGGAGGGTGGGGAGGCGGAGGGGAAATATTACTCCCGGAAAGCGATCCTCCAGTCGACTAACCATCGGGTTCCTACGTACTGCTCGGGAAACAGAGGCGTGTGGAGTAAGGAAACTTGTCTAAGGTTTTATGACAAGGCGCTATATCAAATGCAGGGAAATTCCACTCTCCATTACCACCACCCCACTCCTACCCTTCTCTTTCCGAATAGTGCCATGGGATCTTTAACGCTCACCTGTACAGGCAGATGGGACAAGTTGTTGTTGTGTACAGTATGCGCTTATTTGCTAATCCCCAAAGACACACTCGATTATGTCTTTACAGCTGCCCTCATCATTCGAGGACCACTTGCTCATATAATGCCCCTATACCTGTCAGGTGTTTTTTTTCTGTATTTGTCCAGCTCCACTGAAACTCAATTTGCCGTTGTGTGCTTTCTATCACTAAGGAGTAAATTGAAAAGGCAATGCTCCTTTCCAGCTGACTGAACCTTGAGATTGCACACAGAGGAAAGATGCACACACAAAAGAAGCTAATTTCTGGTTGCCGGTGAATCTATCTACTCTCTGTGATGGGCAGCATATTATTTTCGGCTTGCCAGTAAATTACTGTGACGTGCACTCAGAATGGGATTATCCAATTATATGTTCACGATGTGAACGAAGGTAAGTGGACCACACGATGGAAAATAGCCCCCAAAGACACTCGGCCCAAAATACAACAATCATTGCATTAAAGATGCACCACTTTCATGAATCAGGGAATCCTCCCATTCGGCTCCTGTTAACCCTGCAAGCCAAAGCCCTAACAGGTTGGGTGGTCCCAGCTGGACAAGCAATAGAAAAGCTTGCTAGACAGTGCAATCAATGGCAAACTAGACGGTTTTAGCTGGTTTGACTCCAGCAGTTACCGCAAACGCACACTCTGAGGTCCCCCAAGCCTTGGCTCCTGCCAACCTGCGCCTAATACTTTCTGGAATTCAGTAAGCAGGATGCATCCCTCCATTCAAACAATCTATCTACGGAATTTTCATGTGTAGGTGGGATGCTTGGTTTGATTGGTTTCTGTCTGTAGCAGACACCCAGCTGACCAAAAATAAATTCAGGTGGACATTAAAGATACCATGGAGCTATTCGAAAAGAGAAGGGAGTTTCTCCTGGTGTTTTGCCTACCTGCACACCCTGAGCAGGGCGAAATGTTAGGCAAGTTTCCTTACTCCACACACCTCTGTTTACCTAGCAGTAAGTAGGAACGCATTATCAGTCGATTAGCGGATCGCTTTCCAGGGGTAATAATCCCGTCAATAAAAAATAAAAATAATTTGGTCACTCAATCCACCACTGTTTGTGGGACACTGCAGTGCACAATTGCTTGCTGCGTTTCAGCCACAAAATATACAGTATATTCTGTGAAGCGCTTTGAAATGAAATTCAACAATTATTATTATTAATATAGAGCCATAGAAGAATAGAACCATTTTCTCCCCCAACCTCAGTTAACTCCAAATAGTTTTACTAACTGAGTCAAATCTTGATGTATCAGTTCAGTCTTTTAACATTTACATTGTAAAATAACTGAAGCAATTGGCTCAGTCAAATAGCAGCAAAAAAGCTGCAACAATTGTTTGGCTGTGACAATTAATGAGGACAATGTTTGACAAAGCTTTATTCCAATCTTATGGCAATGTTAACCGAAAAGTGAGGGAAGAAACAGAGAGGCAAAGCTAAGACTCCGGCGGGAGTGGGGGGTGGGGAGGAGGGGGAGAAGAAACATTAAAGATCCCACGGCTCTATTTGAGAAGAAGAGGGAGCTTCTCTCTCCCAGTGTTATGGCCAACAATCCCCAACATAAAATTGGTCGTCTACATTTTCACGGCTGTTTGTGGGATTTTGCTGTACGCACATTGACTGCAGCATTTGCCCACACAGTCAACAACAGATAACGACAACAAGAACTTGCATTCACACAGCGCACTGGACACGGGTAGCGTTTTGGGGTGAAATCATATTTTAGCACTTTGGCACATCTCGATGATGTCTCATAGCCTCGCCTGCACTTACAAGATTTGTGTTCAGGTGAGAATTATTGTGTGCAAAACTGGCTGCCACATTTCTCAGTCAATCCACTTTACAGTATGTCCTGTGAAGTGATTTGAGATGTTTCAACAACGCAATAAGGCACTACATCAAATGCAAGAATAATTATTATTATAAATGCAAGTTGTCTCTCGAGCCCCCAAAAATCGGTTTGATGTTCGCAAACATCTCTCTCGAAAGCGTAAATGTTCCTTTGGAGATCTGTGCTGTTCAATAATAATAATAATAGTAATATTCCTTGCATTTGATATAGCGCCTTATCACATCGTTGAGACGTCTTAAAGCGCTTCACAGAACATAATGCAAAGTGGATTGAATGAGTATTTTGTGGGTGAAACGCGGCAGCCAATTGTGCACAGCAGAGTCCCGCAAACATTCATGGATTGAGTGACCAATTTTTTTTTGAGGGATTATTATCCCTGGAAATCGATCCGCCAATCGACTAACAACCGTGTTCCTACTTACTGCTAATTAAACTCCAGAGTGGAGTAAGGAAACTTGCCTAAGGTTTCATCCTGCCCGGGAATCGAACCCGAGGTCCTCTCGCTTGTGAATCGCAAAGGGGAGAAATAAATCAGCTCGAAGGAAGTTCTGACTGGATAACTGAAAACGTTAAACCATCTCTTTTAAATATATCAAAATTACCTTTCTAAAATGATATTGATTCACGGCGAGTGATAACAGTCATCTCCCGGGCAGACATATGTTTAGAGACATCAGCAAACAGTTGCCAGTTGCCATAGTTATCAACAGTAACTGTGGTAACCGGCAACTGTTTGCGGTAACTATGTTTTAACGGACAGAAATAACAGGGAGATAGCAGAAAGTTGGGTGCATTTGGCGATATGATGTGTAGATTATGTGATGGTGGAGATGAGTCTGGTAAGTTCTAGTTGTCTCTCAGTCTTGGTTCCTCTTTGATCATATTAAGTGTTTAGCGTAAGGAATGGAAGGATGTGCCGGTGGCAACCGAGCTGTAAACCGGCCTCTATTGATGGAAATTTCCTTGTGCACATGAAACTCTAAGACACTCTTAAGCATGTTGATGGGTTTCCCACTTGCGCAGTCAACAAATTGAATCATAATAAAATATGAAGGGGAAAAAAATCGACCTATGTCTAGGTTTGTTCTGTTTGTGCATCGTTTTAAGGGCATCCAGAATTTGGCAGTATTTCGACATTAACTTTCAAATTAAAATACTAATAATAATAATAATCCTTGCATTTGATATAGTGCCTTATCCCGTCATTGAGACGCCTCAAAGCTCTTCATAGAATATACTGTAAAGCCAATTAACTATGTTTTGTGGGTGAAACGTGGCAGCCAGTTGTGTCCCACAAACAGCCTTGAACGTGACATCTGGGGATCTGAGCTCAATTCATTGAGCAGTAAACTCCGATATCCCATTAGTCGAGAGACAACGTAATCCAGTGTATCCGCACATAATAATAATAACCTTTGAATTTGATACAGAGACTTATCACGTCTTCGAGACGCCTCAAAGCGCTTCACAGAATACACTGCAAAGGGAATTGACTGTATATTTTGTGGGCGAATCGTTTCTGAACGTGTCAGACACCCGGCCGACCAAAAAATGACAATCAGTGGAGAAAAAAATGCTTGATATTGCTTCTGTTCCTTGTTCTGCTTCACCGTGCCTCTGTTTTTCAGATGGGCCGTCCAGTTGAACGAGCGTTGAAAAACCTACGATGATAGCAAAGGCCACAGCCCTCGAACGTCAAAAAACTGGCCTTCGGTATTCGTTTCTTCACAAAAAAAATCAACCCATTCGTCGATCACTCTCCTGAAGATTCACATCAGGCGACGTGAGTCACCCCAGACCATAAATGTCAGGAGCGGATACCAGCGCCTCCCCTTGGTTGGCGAATGTAACCAAGGCCGTAATGAACACCAGCGGTTTCATGAATGGCAGCGGGGGGATCTGCAGGCAGTTGGAGATCCCGCTGGAGGTGTATCTGATATTAGGGGGGGTGGGTATGCTGGAGAACCTTCTGGTGATCATTGCCGTGGTCAACAACAGAAACTTGCACTCCCCCATGTACCTCTTCATCTGCAGTTTGGCCATGGCTGATATGCTGGTGAGTGTGGGCAAAGCCTCGGAAGCGGTCATTATCTTCTTGGACCAGAACAGTCACCTGCTGACTGAGACCTTGATCGATCACCTGGACTACCTCTTTGACTCCTTGATCTGCATCTCGCTGATAGCCTCCATCTTAAGCTTGGGAGCCATCGCCACTGACCGCTACCTCACCATTTTCCACGCCCTGCGTTACCACCAGATCATGACAGTCAAGCGAGCTGCCTTGATCATCTCAGCCTTGTGGACCTTCTGCACCTTCAGCGGAAGTTTTATCATCAAGTTCAACCGCAAGAATGCGTTTCCTGGCTCGCTGATTACCATGTACTTCACCACGTTGTTTGTCATCGTGTCACTTTACGTCTACATGTTCCTGCTCGCTCGCAGACACGCCCAGTGCATCCGATCACTCCCGGGGCAGAGAGTCCACCAGGGAACCAGCTTGAAAGGAGCCATCACTTTGACCATCCTCCTCGGGATCTTCATCATCTGCTGGGCACCGTTCTTTCTGCACCTCATCCTCGTGTTGGCCTGTCCGTCAAACCCTTACTGCACCTGCTATATGTCTCTCTTTCAAGTGGACTTGATCCTTATCATGTGCAACTCCATCATTGACCCTCTTATCTTCGCCTTTCGCAGCCCGGAGTTGAGGAACACGTTCAAGAAAATGTGTATTTGTTTCAATAAGCAGCTGTACTGATATTCATACCAACGAGTGTCTTAGATAATCGACTGTGTCCATCTGATTGACTTGCGTTTTATCGACCATATTGCTTATCGACTAACAACCAGAACCCACACGTGGCTGGCATTTTGATACGACGGCTTAAGGTTAGTGTGGAGTCCTGTAGTATAGCGGTTAGAGCGCTCGCCTCACAAGCGAGAGTTCCCGGGTTCAAGTCCAGGACAGGGCGAAAATTTGGGCAAGTTTGCTTACTCCACACGCCTCTGTTCACCTAGCAGTAAGTTGGAACCCGATTGTTGATCGATTGGCGGATCACATTCCGGGGGTAATCTAAAAATAATAATAATAATTTGGTCATTCAATCCACGGCAGTTTGTGGGATACTGCTGTGCGCAGTTAGTTGCCGCGTTTCATCCTCAAAAATATGCGGTCAATTCACTTTACAATACATTTGTGAAGCGCTTTGAGACACCTCAACAATGTGAGAAGGTCCTACATCAAACGCAAGCAGGTCTGGTCAGAAATGCTTGATGATAAGAAAGGAGGATATCTCAAAGCGCCTCACAGAATTCACCATGAACTGTAGTGACTGCGTATTTTGTAAGCAAATGTAGAAATTTTGCACACAGCAATGACCAACAGCCATGGGGTGAGAGACCAATTTTTATTTGGGGGGACTGTTGGCCAAACCACTAAATCCACATAGCTTGAGAGCACTGTCTGGCAAGCTTTCCCACTGCTTGTCCAGCCAGAACCACCCTACCCATTAGGGCTTAGGGTTAACAGGAGCTGAATTGAATGATTCCCTAACCCCAGTGACTGGTCTGTCCTTCCAGGTCCTGCCGATGAGCCAGGCTGGGCTGTGCTGTCATTGGTGACTCCAAATACAGCTTATAATTATAGTAATAACAATAATCCTTGCATTTGATGTAGCACCTTATTGTTGAGACGTCTCAAAGCGCTTCACTGAATATACTGTAAAGTGGAGTGACTGTGTATTTTGTGGGTAAAACGAGTCACAAAATTAATCTGCCAGAATAGTTTACATGAGTGATTACAACGGCAGAGGCACAAAGATCACGAGGCATCAAAAGGGATTATGGATTCCAGCAACAGAACAACATGCCCCCAATCGCTGGCTGAGACACGTCACAAAGTGTTTGATCGTCAGACAGAATGAGCTATGAACAATGACCTTTTTCTGACGTTTTAATAGTCAGCGACGACGCACTTTATTCAACTTCAGTAGACCCCCAAGCAAAGAAAAATCCACAACCTCTTTATAAGGTGATGGATTTTTTTATATGTGGAGTCATGGTGAACCTTTATAAAACACTGGTTAGGCCTCAGCGAGAGACTGTGTTCAGTTCTGGGCCCCACACTTTAAGAAGGATGTCAAGGCAATGGGGAGATTGCAAAGGAGATTGACCAGGATGGTACCAGGAATGAGGGACTTCAGTTATCAGGAGAGGCGAGAGACGCTGGGATTATTCTCCTTGGAGCTGAGAAGGTTAAGAGGAGACTTAATAGAAGTTTTCAAAATTATGAGGGGATTCGATAGGGTGAACAAGGAGAAACTATTTCCACTTGCGGGTGGGTCGGTAACCCGAGGACACCGATTTAAAATAGTTGTTAAAATAAACAGAGGGGAGATGAGGAGAAATTGTTTCACACGGTGAGTTGTTGGGATCTGGAATGCATTGCCTGAAAGGGGGGGGTGGAAGCTGATTCGATAACAACTTTTAAGAGAGACGTAGATAATTATTTGGGGAGGACACGTTTGCAGGACTATGGGGAGAGCGCAGGGGAGTGGGATTGATTTGAATAGCTCTTTTCACAGACACAATGGACCAAATGGCCTCCTTCTGTGCTGTATAATTCTATGATTCCATGATTCAATGAGTCCTGTAGCTTAGTGGATAGACCGCTCGTCTCACAAGTGAGAGGACCCGGGTTCAATTCCCAGGCGGGGTGAAACGTTAGTCAAGTTTCCTTAATCCACACGTCTCTGTTTACCCAGCAGTAAGTGGGAACCTGGTTGTTAGTCGATTGGCAGATGGCGCTAATCAGTACGCTATGGGACTTCAGTTTAAGGGGTATGGTGAAAGGCCGGATTATTTGGATTAAAAGATCCAACAAGATATAATAAAAGCTTTGATGCCTTTGATGACGTGATAAGGTGCTGTATCAAATGCAAGCATTATGATCATTATTATTAATTTTTGGATTGTTCTTGTAAGTGTCCTAAACTACATAATTGCATTCAAGAACAGGATAAATCTATAAATATCTAAAACAAGACAAAATGGCTGTTACTCTGCAATATGCATATATCCAGCATTAGATTTCACCGGAATCAATATTATTAACACTTGCTCAAAAGTGGGGATCTCCAGTTTGAGTGCATGTCTTATCGGGTAACAAAGTTAATTTCCCTTGAGCAACGTATTAATCTTTGCTCTAAAATATAATAAAATAATAATCCCTGCATTTGATAGATATATTGCCTTATCATGTCATTGAGATGTCTCAAAGCACTTCACAGAATATACTGTAAAGTGAATTGACTGTATATTATGAAGGGAAAATGTGGCAGTCAATTGCGCACAGCAGTGTCCCACAAGTAACCAAACTATTGTTTTATTATTGAAGGGGTTATTACCCCAGAAAAGCGATCCGCCAATCGACTAACAACCAGAAATGAACAGAAAATAAACAGCGCCTAACCTTCAAATGCAATCCATAAACACGTCATGAAACATTTACTGTATGTATTTGATGAGACAGCAAAGTGAGCCGCAGACATTTGCAACAGCAGGAAAGTGGTATAAATCAATTTCCAATTCTATATTGCTCTAAACTTTTAGCTGTTGTGATCATTGGAAGCTACTTAGTTACGTAGTTGCTTCTGACATTTTCTAACATTGGAAAATGCAGATTTATTATGTATCTCGTCAAATGTTACAGCTTCAGAATTGTACCCCAACTCGGTCTGTAATGTTCATCTCAACCTGCGTTGACAACACCCAGTTTTACATGTGGAATCATAGAATCTTATAGCCAGAAGTCTGCTGAGCGCAGGGAACGAACAGGTTGTGAATGGATGGGCTTCACCCAGTGACAGGCAGCTCCGGCTGTCAATCAATTAATCATAATTTGACTCCTTCCATTCCCTCCTTTGGTTCTTATTATTGCTCCACCACCTCATTGACTGACAATCCACAGACGCTTGTGAATGGCTGGAGTCCACTGTCTATTCAATCACAATTTGACTCCTTCCATCTCTATGTCAAATGCAAGGATTATTATTACTACTAGTCATATGAACTTGAGGTCGCTATTAACCCATGAGACATCCCTTCCTCTGTGACCTCCTCACTCCCTCCCAACCTGTCCGTTTGCACCCTTTGCTCAGCGAGCATTGGTCTGATATCCTGCCCTATTCTGCCCCACCATTAGAGGATGGGCTTTCAGCTGTTCTGCTCCGCTCCCCGGAACTCCATCCTGGAGTCCTTCCAACTCGCTCCCTGCCTTCCCTCATTCAAGGCCCGTCTCAAAACACACAGCTTTGACCAAGTTTCTGGTCACATTTCCCCTCCTTACCCCCTTCAGCTCCTTCCCTCCCTCAGCTTGGGTACCCAGCCAACGATGTCAAGCACTTTGAAACATCCTCCTGACGTGAAAGGCACAGTGTAAATGTGAATTAATAATAATAATAATAATCCTTGCATTTGATATAGCGCTTTTCACGTCGGGAGGACATCCCAAAGCGCTTCACAGAACACACTGTAAAGTGAATTGACTGTATATTTGTGGGCAAACGAATTGGATTGTATTGTGTACTATCTTCAAAGCCGTTTTGGTATATTTCCCGAGTGGGACGAATCATTGAACAAGTTTCCTTATTCCTTACTCCACCCACCTCTGTTCACCGACCAGTAAGTAGGAACCCAGTTGTTAGTCGATTGGGGATCACTTTCCGGGGTAATAACCCCTCCAAAAAAAAATCTGGTCACTCAATCCACGACTGTTTGTGGGACACTGCTGTTCGCAATTGGCTCCCGCATTTCACCCACAAAATGTACTTTACAATATGTTCTGTATATTTATATAAATGACTCGAAACCAATAAAGCTTGTTAGTTAAACACACTGCAAACAAACTTTAATTTGTCTCCGCACATGCCATTTTGCAACCGGTTGGTCAATTGAAACAAAGTACATCACATTTTACAATACAGCTCAGAAATCTGAAAATGACACCAATGCAGTCACATGTTTACTGATGTATCACAGGTTTTACCATGTTCCGGTAGCTCGATGACAAGAACAAATCCGTTATAAATTGCATTATATAATTGTGGTGTAGGCAAATGTGTTGCATCAATTTAATACCGAACATAAGTGATAAATAACAATCCTTGCTATAGGGGCAGCGCCTTTCACATCAAGAGGACGTCTCAAAGCGCTTTGCAGGTTCGTTCTTCGGATCAGATGTTAAACCGAGGTCCCATCTGCCTGTTCATGTAGATGTTAAAGATCCGATGGCGCTATTCGAAAAGAGAAGGGAGTTTCTCTCTCTCGGTGTCCTGGCCGACAATCCCCCAAATAAAATTGGTCACTCGCTTCATGACTGTTTGTGGGACGCTGCTGTGCACAACCGGCTGTCGCATTTCACCCACAAAATACACAGTCAATCCACTTTACAGTATATCCGATGAAGCAGTTTGAGACATCAAGATAAATTAAAGGATTATTATTTAAAGTGAAACTCCCAAATTAAAGTTTGACATGTTTAAATCCACATTGCTTTGCCTCACAGATCTTAACCTCTCAGCTTTTGCATAGAGTCTAGTTTCACATCTACCCCAATGGTTCTCTGATATCTCGAAACCACATTTTTTTTCCTTATAACTTTACAACAACAACAACAAGATTACATTGGTATAGCGCCTTTCATGTCCTGAGGATGTCCCAAGGCGCTGGATTTAGTGTGTCAAATTAACTTATTTTACTTTATGTTTCTCCTTAAGGGCATATATCTCTCTGCTTCTGGTCTGTAAACTGCAGGTCTATGCACTACACTAACACTATGGCGCTGATGTGAGTCTTTTAGTTTTAAAGTTGAGTGAGTCATCTTATGGAGTCCTGTAGGTAGTGGTTCAAGCGCTCGCCTCGCAAGCGAGAGGCCCCGGGTTTGGTTCCCGGGCAGGGCAAAACCTTAGGCAAGTTTCCTTACTGCACAGGCCTCTGTTTGCCTTGCAGTCAGTGGGAACCCAGTCGTTAGTTGATTGGCGGGTAAGAACCCCTTCAAGAAATAAATAAAATAATAATTTGGTCATTCAATCCACGATTGTTTGTGGGATATTGCTGTGCGTAATTCACAGCCGTGTTTCGTTCCCAAAATATACAGTCAACTCACCCTGACAATATATTCTGTGAAGCACTTTGGGACGTCTTGAAGACGTGATAAAGAGCTATATGAAATGCAAGGTTTATTATTATTATTATTATTATTTTTCCGTCATCGTTGACTTCTGGATATTGATAAAATGTGTCAATTGACAAAGGTCCAGTCACTCTTTGCTCAATGATGCCAGCCTCCTGTACCTCTGATTCATTCACATTTAATTCCAGTGATCGACAGCAACCTTTGCTATAAATTGAGATGATTGGTATCCGGTGACAGCTTTTGGTTTCGATTGTCTATCTCCAGACGTACACGATGATTCAATTGTGGAGCGCTTTAGTCTTGAAGTCAGGCAGTCTAACAAATGTATTTGCCTGTCAATTCCTAATCGTTCACTGTTACAACATGACGATTGAGGGAACCACTGCAGGATTGTCGAGAGAACGCACTTCATCCGTTGCCCTATCATGATGTGTCAGCCTGACTCAGTTGGTAGCACTCTCTTGCCCCTAAATTAGAAGGTTGTGGGTTCAAATCCCACATCGGCACTTAGAATGACATAGTCTAGACTGACACTCCAGTGCAGCGCTGGGGGTGTGTTGCATTTTCTGAGGTGAGTCATTAAACCACGGTGCCGTCTACCTGTTCAGGTGGGTGTTAAAGATCCCGTGGACTTTATTCTGCAATTAATCACCAATGAAAAGGATTGGAGGCAGTTTTATAATCTTTTTCATTGACTAATTTCACAATCATGGATACGTGTATTAGACCAGCAAGCATTTTAGACCCAGATTATTATCCTTTAATATCAATATTCTTTACATTTCCTTTGGATGAGGCGTTAAATGGAGATCCCTTCTGCCTGTTCAGGTCGATGTTAAAGATCCCATGAAACTACTCAAAAAGAGAAGGGAGTTTCTCTCTCTCTCCCTGTGTCCAGGCCAACAATCCCCCAAATAAAGTTGGTCACTCACTCCATGGCTGTTTGTGGGAAATTATTGTGTGCAAATTGACTGCCGCGTTTCACCTACAAAATACACAGTCATTCCACTTTACAGCACTGTATGTCCTGCGAAGCGCTTTGAGATGTCTCAATAACATGATAGGGCCTATATAAAATGCAGGGAGTATTATTATTTGCCAGAAAGTCTGCAAGCTGACCTGAAGGTAAGGCAGCAGATGATTTCCTTGAAGGTGGTCCTCATTTCCTGGCTGCGGAAGGCGTAGATTAGGGGGTCGATGATGGAGTTGCACATGATGAGGATCAGGTACAGGTTGAAGTGTGACATGAAGCAGACACAGTACATGTTGACTGGACAGGAGATCATGAGGATGAGGTGGAGGAAGAAGGGAGCCCAACACACCACGAAGATACCCAGCAAGATGGTCAAAGTGACGGCGCCTTTCATGCTGGCTTTCTGGTGGATGGAGTTGTAGCCGGGCAGAGCGGCAATGCGCTTGACGTGAGAGCGAGCCAGTAAGAACATGTGGATGTACAGGGAAGCCATGAGAAGCAGCATGATGAAGAACATGGCAACCAGGCAGACCACCACGGCCATGGTCTCCGAGTAGAGGATGAAGACGATGCCGCAGCTGGTACAGAAGGTCCAGATGCCTGCGATGGCGATGGCCGCCCGCTTCACCGTCATGATGTGGTGGTAACGCAGGGCGTAGAAAATGGTCACATACCGGTCCACAGCGATGGCAGACAGACTGCACATGGATGCCACCACCGAGATGCAGATCATGGCGTCAAGCACATTGTCCACTTGCTTGACCATGCTTTCCTCCACCACCAGATGCCGACCGTTCAGCAAAGCGATCACCACCGTCTCCCAGGCATTGGACGCGCTGACCAACAGGTCGGCCACGGCCAGACTGCAGATGAAGAGGTACATGGGCGAGTGTAGGTTCTTGTTCTTGACGATGGCGGTGATGACTAGGGTGTTCTCCAGTAAACTCACGGTGCCCAGCGTCAGAAAGATCTCGACCGCCACCGTGACCTGCTCACATGGACCAGAGACGCCTTTCGTCTCGTTCAGGGACTCGTCCACAACGCTTAGGTTTCTCAGCCACCACTTGTGTCGGCGGAGATGGGCATCTGTTGAATTCATCTTCAATTGGATGTTTGGTTTGTGGTGGATGAGGACGAGGAGGAGGAGGAGGAGGAGAACAAGGACTGAGGACGAGGATGAGGTGGAGGATGAGAAGAAGACACCAGACTTGTTCCTGTGCTTTTCAATAGATGAAGGGCTCGGTGAACAAGTTGCATGTTGCAGTTACAAGGGTTATTTTTGTGTTCCTGAGTGAGAGCAGAAGTAATAATATAATAATAATAATCCTTGCATTTGATACAGCTCCTTATTGTGTGGTTGAGACGGCACAAAGTGCTTCACACAATATACTGAAAAGTGGATTGTTCGTGTGTTTGAGGGGCAAAACACGAAAGCCAAGTGTCCCACAAACAGCCATGGAGTGAGTGACCAATTTTATTTGGGGGTTTGTTGACCAGGGCACTGGGAGAGAGAAACTTCCTTCTCTTTTCCAATAGCGCCACAGGTTTTTAACGTCCACCTGAACAGACAGACGGGACCTCGGTTCAACATTTCATCAGAAGAACTATTGAAAAACATTGGAAAGCTACAACAGAGAATGATAATTAAAAGCTTATACAACACGTGCACTGGTCAGCTTGTCTCGACTGCACCAAACAAGCTTAGAAAATATTAAATAATAATAGCAATAATAATAATTGCATTTGATACACTGCCTTATCACATCATTAAGATGTGAATTGAGTGTGTATTTTGTGGGTGAAACGCGGCAACCAATTGCACACAGCAGTGTCCCACAAGCAGTCGTGGATTGAGTGACCAAATTTTTATTTTTTTATTGTATAATTTTTTGGACCTTCTGGAAAGTGATCCATCAATCGACTAACAACCGAGTTCCTACTTACTGCTTGTTAAACAGAGGTGCGTGGAGTAAGAAAACTGGTAAGGTTTCGCCCTGCCCGCGAATCAAACCCGGGTCCTCTCGCTTGCGAGGCGAGCGCTCTTAACGATTGAGCTACAGGACTCCCCGATCAGTAAAAAATCAGCGCAGAAACAGCTCTGAAAGTCACGTACCGATTGATGACATGTTAGCAGTTAAATCTCCTTTCTCGCTGCAGAATTCTGAACGTCTGCCAGCAGCATGACTCCCTCTTCTCTCGTTTTACACTTCGCAGATATGAGACCGGCAGGAGGTGAACTGAGACGAGTTCTCCCCGAGTTGTGAGGCAGCAGTAACAATCGACCAGTTTCAACGCTGCTTTTATGCCTGATGCCACCACTCTGGGGATGTAGCACCTCCCCTCACTCTCAGTATGAGCCACTAACTGAACGACAACCCACTTTGTTCAGCAATTAGGAGTTACCGTGTGACAATACAGTACCCATCTGTTAGTTAACGACAGGGCCATCTTCTGGTGCTATGCTACTCCAGTGTATATGTTAGTGATGTTAATCATGATAAATTTGGTCACTCAACCCACGACTGTTTGTGGGACGCTGCTGTGCGCAACTGGCTGCCACGTTTCATCCACAAAATACACAGTTAATTCACTTTCCAGTATATTCTGTGAAGCGCTTTGAGACGACTCGACGACATGATAAGGTCCTGTATCAAATGCAAGGATTATTATTATTATTACAATACGACAACTGTTGGGGAAGCACTGTGATTGTCGGAGATGCCGTTGTTTGGACGTTAAGTCAAGGTCCCCATCCTCCTGTGAAGGTGGACGTTAGAGAGAAGGAAGATTCTCTTGGTGTCCTAGCCAACAATCACCCCAAAATAACTTGTCACTCACTCACTTTATGGCTGTTGAGCAACATTGCCGTGACTCGTCACTGGGGCAGGGACTCTTCCTGGTTCATCATCATAAAAACTTATCAAGAGAAACATTTTTTCTGACCCCCATTGCTCTTGACACACCTGTACTCGGCTTGCCACCACTTTCTGGCATCCAAAGGTAAGCAAACCCGATGCCATGTAATGTGCTATCAGTGGGATACAATGGGATTCCTGTGCATCAACCCACTCAAACTGTGGGTGATGATTGGACCAGTGCCCGAATCAATTACCACTTATATAATTACAGATTTTTTTTTAACGACTGAGTATGAACAGAATACGTTGACTGTTTCACAGCCGTGCTCCATATAATAATAATTATAATAATCCTTGCATGAGTAGATTATTTTATTAATATCTTTAAATTTTTTCAGCGTTCAGAAGCAATTGTCTGAAAATCCCTACCCATTGTGACAGAACTTGTTGGTCTGAGATGCCCATCTGAGCCCTGATACACACGGAAACATCCATGTCTGTCTCCAAAGCTGGAGCAATCATGTTGAGAACAGTACTGTTCGCCTACAACAACAATAATAATAATATTAATCCTTGCATTTGATATAGCGCCTTATCACATCATTGAGACGTCGCAGAGCGCTTCACAAGATATACTGTAAAATGTGCACTTTGTGGGGACCTTGATTTAACGTCTCATCCCGAGGACAACATCTCCGAAAATCACAGAGCTTCCCCAACACTATACTGGAGAGTCAGCCTAAACTGCGAGCTTACAGTCCCAGCGTGAGACATGGGACTTGAACCCACAACCTTATGGCCCAAAGGTGGGAGCGCTACAACTGAGCCTGGCTGACACTTCTTTTCTTTTTTATTCTTACAAATGGCTTTGTGTGAAAGCTCTGAACGCGGCAGCCAATTGCGCACAGCAGCGTCCCGCAAACAGTCGTGGAGTGAGGACCTGCACTGCTGATGACAGCACAGCACAGCCCAGCCCGGCCCGGCTCATCAGCAGGACCTGGAAGGGCCGACCAGTCACTGGGGATAGGGAATCCTCCCCCTCAGCTCCTGTTAAATCTACAGCCAAAACCCTAATGGGTAGGGTGGTCCGAGCTGGACAAGCATTGAGAAACCTTGCCAGACAGCGATATCAATGGAAAGCTGGTTAGGACCTGACCTTTTTTCCCCCTCCGCTACATTGCCTGGCTCTGTCCATCCCTCATAACCGATGCAGCTTGAAGCAATCGTCCACGCCTTTGTTACTTCTCGGCTGGACTATTCCAATGCCCTCCTCGCTGGTCTCCCAGCTCCACCATACACAAAATCCAATTAATTCAAAACTCCGCCGCCCAGATACTCACTCACACGAAACTCCGCACGTCCATCACCCCAATCCTTGCCAGGCTTCACTGGCTCCCAATTGTTGAACTGCTCGACTTCAAGATCCTCTCACTTATTTTCAAATCCCTTTATGCCCTCACATCTCCCTACTTATCAGACTTGCTTAATCCCCACTCCACCACCCACTGCCTCCGCTCGGCTGGCTCCGGCCTCCTGATTGTGCTTTATGCCTTTCATTCCATCAGTGGCTGTGCCTTTAGCCACGACACCCTGAACCTCTGAAACTCTCTCCCACAATTCCAGCACCTTGCCCCCTCCCTCCCCACCTCCGAATCCTACCTAAAGACCTTCCTTTTTAATTGTGCTTATGGTACTTCCCCCCTTTCCTCTCCCCCTGGTTTGTTGTCAGATTCCACCACTGTCAAGCGTGAAGGGCCCCATATAAATGCAGGTTGTTGTTGATGTTGTTGGTCAGACTCCAGCAGTTGCTCCAACGCACACTCTGGCGTCCCCAAGCCTTGACTCTTGCCAACCTGCGCCTAATACTTTCCGGAATTAGGTAAACAGGATGCATCCGTCCATGAAGAGAGAGCGCATTACATTCCAACAATCCTCCAACAGTCTGGGATTTCCATGTGTAGGTGGGAGGCATGGAATTCTCAATTTGGTTTGAGTTTCCTCATGTGTCAAACTCCCGGTTGACCCTAAATAAAGGATTGATGGATCACGACACTGGGAGAGAAAAACTCCCTGCTCATTTTGAAATAGTGCCAAGGGATCTTTAACACCCACCTGGACACCAGGCAGATGGGCCCTTGGTTGGGACGTCCTCCCGACGTGAAAAGCGCTATATCAAATGCAAGGATTATTATTATTATTATTATAACGTTTCATCTGAAGGACAGCACCTCTGACAATGCAGCACATCCCCAGCACTGCATTGGCGTGTCAGCTTAGCCTATATGTTCCAAGTCCCACTGAAGAGCATGAACCCACAACTTTCTGGCTCAGAGACGAGAGCACTACCACAGTGACACAATGCAATGTGTTTTCAAGAGCCTATCTTGGGTAGATTTATAAGCGCTGCCTGTGTGGGTGGTCAGTCACACTTTTATCAAGTCCCTAGTTTATCATTAGGTGCACTGTGGAAGGATGCCAAGGTTTTCTGTTGTCTCTCATACTGGAGAAAGAATAAACTAATTATAAAAAAGGTACAGTTGCAATTCAACAGTAATTAAAAGAATTAAAAATGATTTGTAGGACATGTCGAAAACCAGCCTTAGAAATGAAGCTAATTTGAGCTACAGAACATCATCCAAGTGCCCGTGCCAACTGTATATTAGAAGATGCTGCAGTTTGCCAAATCCCTATCATAACACAAGGTAAACGCAACAGTCTGATTATTTAATAATCTTTGCATTTTGCATTTTTGATATAGCGTCTTATCAGGTCTTCGAGTGGTCTCAAAGCGCTTCACAGAATATACTGTAAAGTGTATTGACCGCGTATTTTGTGGGCGAAACGCTGCAGCCAATTGCACACAGCAGCGTCTCCACAAACAGTGGTGGGATTGAGTGACCAAATTATTATTTTTTATAATTTTCATTTTTTGAAGGAATTATTTCCGCCGGAAATGTGATCCGCCAATCGACTAACAACTGTGTTCCTACTTACTGCTCGTAAACAGAGGCGTGTGGAGTAAGGAAACTTGCCCAATGTTTCATCCTGTCCGGGAGTCCAATCCAGGTCCTCTCGCTTTAACCACTGAGCTACAGGACTCCACAATTTGCGTGTGTTATGAAAGCAACAGGAAAGCTGACAAACATTAACCCACAATTCCGTACTGAGTGACATGCTCGCAATTAATTCCATGAAACATATTCTGCGGGATTGTTGCCAGGGTTCATTCTGAGTATCCCTT